CCCCCCCCCCCCCCCCCCCGAATTACTGTAAAAACTCCCATGTAATGAGACTTAAGATGGACCTGTATCAGCCAGCCTGGTCTATTGGATGAGACTGAGATTCACTTAGATCCTAATCTCACCGACTTCTGCAGCGGACGTGCAGCGTTCGTCGTTTCCATTGCACCCAGGGTACTGCGAGGCACTGAGGAGAAGGAGACCTGCAGTGCTCCAGGTACATTTCCATGAGTGACTAATGCTGACAGTAGCACATTGGCTCTTTCTTCACAAGAGTTGAACACAACTATTTAAGACTAAAGATTAACTTCCTCAGAGTTTAAAACTGTTAATTTGTCAAATTTGAAAACTGAGGTTAAGTTTGGCCATAGCTGTTAATTAACTTATATGATAGCTATCAATTTTTTACTTTCCTGGGATTTTCCATTTCAAAGGCATTGAAAGAAACAGAAAAGTACATTGCTAATCACGTCAAGAAGATGGAAGGGTTTTGTTTGTTTTACTGAGTCATATGCTTTTATGAAATTTCAGTCCTCCCTTGATTTGTTTGGGAGTCCAAATTATGGTATACTGTTAAGTATATACGTACAGATAATACATGAACCTCTGGAGGTTACAAGCACTGAAAAAAATGATACTGTTATTTTCAGCCATGCAGAAAAACTCATTTAGTGCAAGAAGAGAAATAGTTCTTTGTACTAGTTCAATATATTTTTAGGATGCAGATTGCGTATAAGATTCTGCACAGCTATGACCTGTAGCTCAACAGTATCTAGGAAAAACAAAGTTACTGTAAAAGAGGAACTATTTAATACCTCACGAAGTACTGAACTAAAAACATAGCTTTCATATATGCATGCAGATTGTCCTTTGTTCAAGCGAACTGATGCCTCACTGATTAACCAGTGACAAAACAAATGCTTAAACAGTGCTACACATCTCACCAATATGGGAGAAAAGAGGCTGGGCGGAAAGCTAATGCATTTATGTGGATTTATTGCAGAGATATGAAGTGTCAAAATGTCTGTCTTTTTAGATTATGCTGATATACTCCATTTGTAACCTGAAAAGTTACAGTGCTTTTTAAGACAGTATTTAAAAATGTTGCTGATTTGAAGAAAAGTTAACTTTCTAGGTGAACCTGCTTTGTCAGAGGGGTTGGACTACGTGATCTCTGAAGGTCCCTTCCCACCCCTACCGTTCTGTGATTATACTAACACCTGGTCTAGGCTTGCTTGTCCACCTGGCTTGTTTAAAAAAACCTGCCGGCTTTGGAAAAAAGGATTTATAGACGTGCAGCAATCGGTTGCTTATGTGCAGGGCTCTGTGCGTATACAACCGGATAAGCGCCTGGGTAGTCAGCTGGGTGCATTTGGCACCCATCCAAGTTGCTGTGCACACACACATATATATATATATCAACTGCACGATGCTCTCCCTGTGAGCTCCGAGCTGGGGTGTTTATCACACTGCCGCTTCTCCTGACCTTCTCCCTTCCTGGCTGGAAAAAATAATTTGTCTTGCTCGCTCGCCAGCAAAACAAATCGGGGAAAATTCAGCCATCCTGGCTGGAAGTCAGCAGCCCTGATCAGGGAATCCAGTCATGTCCTCTGAGGTTGTTCCTGCTGGGCATCGTGTTCCTTCAATGTACTTTGACACCGGCTCCATGTGATTTCGAGGGAAAGAACTGATTTACAGTGGTTTACAGCAGGGAGAAGTGGTGATGCCGGGTATCGACGCTCAGTGCCATTGGCCTTCTGGCAGCAGGGAAACAACGCTTGGCTTTTCCACTCTGTTCCTGTGTTCTCCAGTATTTTCCCCAAAGGTACAACAAAGTTCAAATGCTCGTTATAGAAGCAATGCACATGAATTTAGCAAGAAACTGTTAACATTCACTTTCTTGTAAGATTTTTTTTAAATTAGAAATTTTACGGAAAACTGATAGTCTTTCATTCATCCATACATATTTTAGGGCTCTCCTTTTGATGCGTGTATATACAGCATGTTAATTTAAGCTATCATTAGAAATGAATACATCACTTCTTTGTTTTCATAGGCATAGATTGAACATCTAAGCAGATAATGAATTCAATAGTTTTGTACTCAGAGCTGGTTGCCTAGTGAGATTAAACAGATGCCCAGGAATCAGCTTGATTTAATGACTTTTAAAGATGGGATATCAAGTCCTTTGACAGTGACTTCTAAAAATAGCATTAAATTATTGGAACAGTAATCATAGAATCATAGATTGGTTTGGGTTGGAAGTGACCTTAAAGATCATCACGTTCCAACTCTCTTGCCATGGGCAGGGACATGTCCCACCAGAGCAGGTTGCTCAAAGCCCCATCCAGCCTGGCCTTGAACCCTGCCAGTGATGGGGCATCCACCGCTTCTCTGGGCAACCTGTTCCAGTGCTCACCACCCTCACACTAAAGACTTTCTTCCTAATACCTAATCTAAATCTCCCTCTTTCCTCTCCGTTACCTGAAAGTCCAAGTATTCTTACATAGTAAATACTGGTTATTGTTTTCCATAAATTCAGTCAGTTAAGGATTTCTCACTGGTAGTCATTCTTGTGAAGGTCTTTGGGTTTGCAGACTCCAGACACACTTCTCAGTGCTAAAGGACCAACTGAAAATAATTCTGAAGCAATCTTCAGTTTGGGAACTAACCTTTAATCAGAGTGACTACAAGGGCAGGTACAGCAGTAGAGGGGAATAAAACAATCCTGTCTTGTTGCCCAGTTTGCAAAGACTGTTCAAGTGCTTGCAATAGATTTCAGTTTCTGAATTTTTTCTCCTCTGCATTTATTTCTTTGTCTTGGTAAACATTGGGCTAATAGTGTAGAGTGCATCATTGTATATATAAACAAGACTATGTCCTTATTCAACATGCTTCCTGTGAAGTCCTTTTATTGCACCTCTTCTTACTCCGGTTGCTACCATAACAATCCTCCGGCAACAAAAGAATAGTTCTCCACATTTATAACTTGGTTTTGTGCAAAGCAATGCCTCGGTTATGGGGGCTTTTTGGGGTGGAATCAGGCATTTGCTTTTCCAGGCTCAGGCAAGCTCCTGAGTCACAACGCAGGAGTGGGGCTGGAGTGAGGATGGGGGGACATAGTGCTGGGGCCACCAGGTCTGCCCTTCAGAAGTGGTGCGAGTTTGAAGGCAAATGAGGGGCAAATCTGGAGCCCTGTTTTTTGGGTCCAGGGCTTCTGTGTTCATCACACATGTCTTTTGGAGGGATGAAAAGGGGGCCTAGGCTTCCTTTATCCTCAAGGGCCCTTTGTGGGGCCAGCCAGTTTCCCCAGGAAGCCAGGTGGCAGATTCTTTTGGGATGTGGTGGCAGCCAAGCTTCAAATTCACCAGCTGTGGATAACAGCATGACATCCCACCATTGCAGTCGCCAGCTGCTCTGCTGCAATGTCCCTCAGACATCTTGTGTACCTGTCTGACATTGCATCTGGGGGGAAAAAAGTTGTCCTGGAGCACTGTATGAAGTTTTGTATTATTCTAAAAAGGTAGAAGAGAAAATAAAAACTTTTTAAGGCCTTTTTTTTTTTTTTCCTAAAGAGAAAGGTAGTAAATAACTAACAAAAGACAGCTATTTCTAGTGCCTGTTTTAGCTAAAATAACGGGGGTTAATTATTAAACCTTTTACTTGGTTGCTCACTTGTGCTGCTGATGCTTTAATCCTGGGTCACAGAAAGTTTAAGAGTGCTTTACAGGGGAGACTCACTTCTTTTTGCCTCAACCTTTCCACGCTGACGGGATGTTACGGGTTTTGCTGCTTACTCTCTCTGTAGTTGCCGTTGCTGATGCTGAGCTCTGCAAGCCAGGTATGTTTTGGAGGTGATTCCCATCCTTCCCCAAGTAAATATAGCTATGAGTTTATGCCTACAAAGCCGTCAGCTTCTCAGATTTTTATTTTAACTGGTTGTTTCCAGTTTGAAGATTGAAATATGGAACATTCACTTCTTTTATGAGTTTGCAAATTAAGTGTGGAAGTTGATCTCATTTATTTTAAAGAGGTCAAGGTAAACCTCACTGAGACTTTATAGGGCTGTGACATTTTTCATGTTAATAACTTCTGTTCTCTTAACCAAGTGAGCTGTTAACACACATTTAGAACCCGTGATTTTTGAAATAATTAGAGAAGTAAATGATTTAAAATCCTATTGCTGACTATCAATATGTGTTTGCTTTTTTCTGTTTGTATCAGATGCACAGAATGCTTTCAAAGTGCGGCTTAGTATCAAAACAGCTTTGGGAGATAATGCAGTAAGTAAAGTATCTTCATATATTCTTCCTAACTGAAAATCTGTCAAAACAGAAGTAATAGATATTGTAAAATTCCTGAAGGCAGCACAAGCAATTTGTTCTGAAGTGTTAATTGTAATAGCTTGTTCAAGTCGTGATCCAGGCATCCATTTCTTGGCATTTGACTAGCCTACTCCTTAAAATGGCATCCTTTAAGAGAACTATAAAGCTTGCCTTTTCATAAAGACAATTTTCTGTCAAAGATTTTATTTTTTCCTGGAAAAACAGTAGAGATGTGACACAATGCATGAGAGGTGCTGCATAAATCTAAGCCTGTATTTTGGGAGAAGCACTTCTGCTTTAACCTGCTAATTCTAAAGTCAAGCATGCCTGGGTAGAGAAGCAGGAAAAGATTGTTAGGTCTTTATGAAATGGGACTTTATGGTAGGCTCTCAGACACGCGCGATCTGTAGAGATCATTCAAGCGTATCTCATCAATTCCCTACTAATGTAGGGCTTTGGGTAGTGGCCTTTCCTCTCTGCCTGTGGTGCACAGGGTAGTCTCAGGAGGACTGAAATGCTTTGGCTTAATTCAAGTCCTTGTTCTTAATTTAGAAGTACTGGTGCGGGCAGTAAGGGTCTGTGATACATAAGAGTTTGGGGTGTTAGATAACTGAATGGTCCTTCCTGATCTAAAGTGCTATGAGATATGGCAGAGCCCAGTACTTCATTTGCGGTTTTGAATGCTTAGGGCAAATCTGCAGCGTGTTACAGGGCTCAGCATAAAATTAGATGTGAAATGTCTCGGACAGTCGTCTCTACTGGAAGCCTGGTGTCTGATTATGTTTGGTTTCCCCCCTGGGAAACACCAAGCAGTAGCTTACTCATGTTATAAGAGACTGAAGATAGGAGAATTTCCCTATGACTGTAGAAGCCATTTTAAAATTACCCTGAAATATCAGGTAATTTAAACAAACATTAGCAGAGACCTGATTCCACTGGTATCTTCAAAAAAACCCAAAGAAATTGGTAAGAAATATTCAAGATACATGATAAAGTATTTGTCTGTGGAAATTCATATTGAAGTCAATTCTCTTTGGTGAGATCCTAGTTTGTTTAAAAATTTATTAAAAATGGTGTAACCCTGTGGCTGAAAAAATGTCAAAATCTTTATTGAAGCTCCTCTTGATGATAACTGCTAATATTTTTATTCAATCTTGGTTCAAAATAGTAGCAAAGACTGAAAATTGCAGTTTCCAGTAATGATCTTTCTCAGTTCTTCATACTCCGACTATAGTAAAATAAGGGGGGTTTGATTGATCATTTGGGATTTTTTTTATTTTTTTGCCCAGAAAGAGTATGATACAAATCATTAATTTTCAAGGCACTTTGTATTACAAGAAAAAAGCAATGACTGAGGAGTCTACTGTTTTTTGTAGATAAAGAGTAGTCTATTTCATACAACAACATGTGCGAAAGCCCTAAGAATGGGACAATCCAGAACAGCATTTTAAAACAACATCCTGAAAGTGGTGTGATACCGTACAAAATTACTCACAAATAATGAACAATTTATTAATTGCACAGGTAATAGTTTCTTTTCATAGCCAGTGCAATCTTCTCTGCAAATGACTGAAATTGAAAACTGAAACTACTATTAAACTGAAAATTATTTTGGTTGAAGAATTTGGAACACTTGTAAAATTTTATTTATTTTAGCAAAGAGAAGAGTAATATTGTCATCGTATCACAGTAGGACACAATCATCTTAGAATATCTTGGTATGATGCTTTGCTGTTGAATTTTGTTTCATTCATTTCCAAGTCACTTCAAGCTAGATGGTAACAGAAAATCCTGATGCTGTTGGCATTTTGCTCGAGGACTGGCAGGATAACTCCAATGTATGTTCAGGGGCATAGGAAATAGGTTAGTGTAGTTTTTCACGTATTTTAGCACATGCCGTCTACTTTGTGTTGTGCTGATAAAGACAGGACATCATTTTTTAATTTGTTCACAAGGTAAGTTGTACTTTGGCAAGGAGTGTCATTTAGTGTATTTATATAATTCTTAGCATGATGGACCTGGAAAGAGCAGCCAAGGTACAGTAGGTACTTAGCTGTTATCATTTTATTTGTAAATAATGAGTGTACTTGACAGAGACATTATTTGCTAACTGGTGGGAGGAAACAGGGAGTCCGTAAGCCTAAATGGAAGGAAGGTGATTTATGAGTCTCTCTGAATATGGTGTTAACTTCATGAGTGGCTTCTAGAATAGCTGCTAGTCACTAGTTGCTTCCTACTCATGGAGTTAGTGGAGTGGTAGAGAGTTAATTCAAAAGAGCCAAAGACAACTAGGGAGTGAGCAGAAGTGATGTGCACTGAGAAATCTGTAACTCTGTGTCACCACTCAGTTTAACTGTAAGAGTCAAAGAGCTGGCACATCAGGGCTGCAGCCAGGTGAAGCAGAAGGTGCACTTCCCTTCTAGTTCATGCGTTCAGTCTGTTCCCATGGTAGAGGCCGAAGGGGAGAAAGGCTGATGTACACCTGATGTCCTGCCACCAAATAGGACCCAGAAGTGTGTTCACATGTATGTTGCCACTCTGCAGTCTGAATGGCTGTCTAGTTGAAACACAGAACCATTCAGGAGGGAAGGGGCCTTAGAAGGTCTTTAGTCCCCCGCTGCTCAAAGCCAGGTCAACACTGAAATCAGATCAGGTTGCTCAGGGCAATCTTGTAATATTATAATCTTGTTCTCCTAGTTTAAATTTTGTCTTCCTTAGAGCACTACTATAGCATTTCATCCCATTGACAGTCTGTGCTCATCATCTTTTACCTATTATCTCATCAACCTCCCCTTTCACTAACTGGCACTTAGGACTGGCTTTCACAGTCAGCTGTGTCTAATTCTGCTGTTCTTAACATATAAAGGACGGCGATTTTGACTAAGCCAAGGTCTTTATACAGCAAAGAAGATGGTAAACATTAATAGTTTTCGTACCATCATGTAATGTTTCATTGATAATAGAGTTATCTTATGTTTATAGTGTGTGGTTGTAAATTATATTTAATACATTTCCTCTATAGGAGCACAAAACGTGCATCAATGGCTGCACTTCACAGGAACATAAGAATAGAAGCAACATCCTCAGTCATCATCTGTGGTCCAGGTGTTTGCAATTGGAGGATAAAGATGAAACTGATTAGCCCCATAGTAGAAAGATTCAGATTTCTCTGCACCTGTCCCTCCAATTAGAGAAAGCTGGTGGTTAGAAATTGGCTTCCAGCAATTTGTGCCCACTTGTCCTGAGTCGGTACAGTTGATGAGCTTAAAGGGTGTTCTTGCCGTACTTTTTCTCCTTGTTATGTTGCCTCGCCTTGCATATTCCTGCATGCAGTCATGTACAGAGGTCATTGTTCATATGGAGCTCACAGCCATCTCCCTCTCCTCTGCCTCCTGTCTGATCGCTGGTTTTTTGAGGCTTCTTGCCCTTCGGCCCAGAAGGTTGTCTGCAGCATCTTCTCCTCGCTCAAGCAGACCCCTGATTTCTGCTGAGCTTTCTCTGCTGGTCTCCTCCCCTGTTTCTTGCAGCTTTCAGTTTATTCTGTCTTTTTTTAAAGTGCTTACTCTTTCAGCTGGGGCTGGAGATCCTCACTACAAATTATTTTCCCTCTTTTGAGATACCCTTTTTGTTACTCTGACTTGAAGAAGCTCTAGGTTACTTCATTATTTATAAAAACTAAATACTTGATAATGATAAATCATGCATATACATGTACTGCACTAAACATACATAAATATATATACTTGGTAGTGCTGCATTACATTTGTGTCCATGTAAGCATAAAATGGAGTGTGCTTCATCATTATCCGTTTTCAAGACAACAGATTACATTATCTCTACAGCTGGTTTAATCCACTGGATAACAAATGGTTTTTTTCTGTCCTTTTGGACCTGTTCTCAAAGACTGCAGATGGCATGTAGGGATTTAGTCAATAGTACTACACACAGAAAAAGGAACATCTTCCCTTTTAGTGCTGCAAATTGTGCTCTGTGGTTTAAATACAGATGTCTTTAAAATTACGATAAATAGTTTTATGGCTCTCATCTATATTAATTCCTCTACTAAATTATCTTTTTCTTTTAGTACTAGTTGTTGTCATTACTGTCATGTTTTCATCAGTGCAGTGGGATCAAAATGCAGGCTTTTATAATTTATTTTCAAGGAGTGTCTTTTTTTTTTGCTCCTCAGTTTAAATTCCCAGACTGGCATGCATTCTCACAGTATGCTTTACACCTCCCTTCATTTACAAGGCAAGAGTGGTGAGTCAGAACCCAGATTCTCAGGACTGCATCTGGATTTTAATGCTGCTCAAGTTGTCTGTTGCTCAGCTTTGTTGTCCCTGTCCTACTGTATCTCAGAGAGCCCATTTCACAAATCACCATTTGTCTAGGGATGATAAATATGATCAGTATGACTTTCTGTCCTTTAAATGACAGCTGCTCTCCCTGCTTAATTTCCCAGTCCACAGGATTTCAGAGCAAAATGAGGGCTGAACTGGAATTTGGGTTCCTTCTTTCTGCAGGGAGGTTGCGGCTCCATGCATCCAAAATCAGAATTTAAGTAGTACAATTAAGATTTGGCATTTTCTATGCTGTTTACTGTTTTTTGATGTACATTGGTGGTTTTTGAATGTCTTGTAAAGGCCCATGAAAAGGTAGGTCCAAGTTCTCAACAGGGTTAAGTATCCACATAACTCGTTTCTGGTTTGGATGATTACAGTGCAGATTTTTTTAATGCTAAAAGTTAAAGATTAGATTTGTGTTCTGATTGACTGAAGAAAGCTGCCTCCAACCTCCATTAATATAATTCCAAGAAACTATTAATCTTTGTAATCTGCTGAAAGGGGAAATTCAATCAGTATGCCTCAGTCATGGCTCTTGTTATAAAAATGTAATAGGTGCAGTTCTTATAGGTTATTAGAATTGCATATGTGAATAAAAGCCCAGGGAAAATTAGTGAAGCTATCTCAGAAAACTGAAATTATGGAAGCATGATTTTTCATCAAGACAACAGAGGACAGTTTTTAGAGCCTGCATTTTACATTAATGAAGTAGTAAGGATGGTATTTTCTTTGGTCTCACGTGCAATATAGTAATTTATCCTATAGTTGAGTCTGTCTTCTTGTTGCAAGGATGGTGTGCAGCAATAAGGCCATAATCTCATTTCATTTCCTGGTGTCCTGATATCCAACTCCCAGAGACTACCTTCAACCTTAGCTTTTTTTTTAATTATTTTATTTTGGGGCCAAATGGTCTTTGAGAGTGAATTTAAACCTTCTACTTTAACAGGGTTTATCCAGCAAAAGAGCAAAAGGTGATGGGTGCAGCTGTGTGGGGAGAATACTAGTCATATGCCTAGTCTTTGTTACAAGAAACTTTACATCTCCAGTTTGGTCAACTTTCAGAAACATTCAATTAATTCAGGTTTTGGAAACATTCTTTGCACTTTATATCGCACTTTATAGCAGCTGTTAGAAAAAGTCCTTTGTGCACGCCAAATAATGGGCAGGAATTTCTTTTCATAGCACAAACAGAGAATTTATTCATTTTCTTGATCAATATAGTATTTCAAGTTCAGTGACTCTTTTCCCTCTCTGTACTGCCAGCACCGGTGCTGAAACTGATTATTTTCCGTCTTCCTTTACAGTATGCCTGGGATGCCAATGAGGAGTACCTCTTCAAAGCAATGGTGGCTTTTGCAATGAGAAAATATTCCAGGAAGACCACAACTCAGTAAGCATCTACTCTGATTTGCCTTATACATATTAACAATGCTGCATGTAGCGGCCCATTCTCTGCTGTGCTCAATTGGAGAAATCATTATACACAGCTTCTGAAAACAGACCATTCCAGTATATTTGTTAAACATCAGATATATGTTAAACATCACACCTTCTCTGTCTTAAGCAATATTCAATCTTTGGACCAGTGTCCCTGTTGATGTGAAGTGACACAGCTGTGGATCTCAGTGGGATTGTGCCAATTCACTCTAGCAGAATCTGGCAGTAAGACACGATACCTTCTGGAGGCAAAGGCAAGGCACATTAGCAAGGTCAAGAAATGCAGTGCAGATCCTTGCAGAAGCAGCTCTGGTGCATGTTTTCTTAGAGCACAGCTTCAGCAGTACGCTGAGGATGAGCTGACTGGAAGGTGGATAGCAATGCTTAGTGCTGTGTTCTGCTGGCTGTATCTCTGCCTAATAATGCAGTGGTTGAGTTTACCTAGCATCAAGACGTTTCAGATGTTGTGGTTCAGACGTAAATCAGCCTTTAATTGGTTTTGGGATTAAGTCTACCCTGAGGTATTGAATATTCTTCTCAGGCTTCTGATCCTTGCTACTAAAGAAATTAGATACCAGATTAGACAGACCATTTAAGCAAGCTGTATTGTCAGTATATTCTTATCTTTCTTAAATGAGAAACCTTGTAAGTGTATTTCTATAGGCTTATTATTTTTTCATTGTTTTGTAATCTTAAAGGGAAGATTTATGGTTCTGGTAGGCTAATGAGGATCAGGTTCTCAATTTACTTTAAAAAAAACTGCTTCAGGCTGTCATTGCATCAGGTGAAGCATATTTCATATTTGCAAAGACATTAGTTAACTTTGGTCACATAATGATTATTGTGGCTGCTGCACTTTCTCTTAAATAGAAAGTGATTTCCCTCGCCATGTAACCAGAGTGTTTTGTTCCTTGCTGCTTCAATTTTGTCCCTCAGAAGTTGTCTCCTTTGAGCAAGAGAGCCATTACCCCAAGCTTAACAAAACCAGCCAAGTATGCTACTGCACACAATTAAAATGACACTTATAAAATATGAGTTCAAGATACAAGCTAATTAAAGGTGATTGTGCAGGGCTTTCTCTCAGGTTTTCAAATTAGCAGAATTTTCATCTAGTATGTGATGCATAAAGCTTCGCTTTTATATACTTACTGTAGTTCCAAGTCCTTTTTTGAAATTATTCTCTTCCTTCAAAGTCATGGTGCTTTCACACGGCAAAAAACCTGCGTCAGAAGCCAGTGATCTTTTTCCTTTTCAAGCACCATGGGTCTCTGCAGACTCAACTAAAATTAGAAAGCTTGGTGCAGGAATGGTAAAAAATCAAGCCAGTATGAAAGGAGTTTTAACAGAAGTTATTTCTGTCTACTCTGGGAAATCACAGAATTTATGCTCACTTAGTTCAGTTTCCTACCAAGATAATCTTTCCTATGGACAAATATGACAGTGTCAGTGTTACTCTAGTTTAGAGGTGGGGTTGCACATATCAATACTTTCTTGCTACTATGTTTGTCAGAGCAGAAGTCAGTAGCAGCTAGGTGTGGGCAGCTTTACCTCTTTTTAAGATGGTACAGGACTTCCTTACAGGGTATAAGTTGTTGGGGTGTACCTTGGAGATATAACCGATCTAGGACTTCGAGATACCTGTGTAGACAGCATGTCAGCCAAAGTACAACTCTGAGATCTGGTACAATTTACTAGGCAACAGGCTGAGGAGTTTCCTACCTGCAGATCTCTCCCAAATCCCAAGGGACCTCGGAGTCCCCGTTCAGTGATGGAGAGCTAGGTGAACCTCCCCATACACCCCAAATAACCTGCCTGTTACATGGGAGCAGGAAAGCTATGAAAGCCTCCATCCTGTTAGAAGTTCTGGAAATAATGCGCTCCCTTCCCCGTCCTTGTGGCTGGCAGCTGGAAGGAACTGGGTGCAGCAGTAGGAGCGTCACCCATCTCCATCTTCTCTGCAATGGGTGTGGAGATGTGGGAGCCCTCAGCATCCCAGGGGGTACAGCAGCATTTGGTGCACACAGGAGTGGCACTGTCACACAGCTGATAAGGGTAGTGGCAGCGGCTCACAGTGAGGTAAAGAGGAAGGCAGAAGCAAGAGCTTGTGGCAAATAAATTACATTATGCTACAGGAGCTTTTATAGATCATAGAATCATGGAATGGTTTGGGTTGGAAGGGACCTTAAAGATCATCTAGTTCCAACCCCCCTAGAGCCCCTCCCACTAGAGCAGGTTGCTCAAAGCCCCATCCAGCCTGGCCTTGAACACCTCCAGGGATGGGGCATCCACGACCTCCCTGGGCAACCTGTTCCAGTGTCTCACCACCCTCATAGGAAAGAATTTCTTTCTAGTATCTAATCTAAATCTCCCCTCTTCCAGTTTAAAACCATTACCCCTTGTCCTATCACTCCCCTTCCTGACAGAGTCCCTCTCCGGCTCTCCTGTAGGCTCCCTTCAGATATTGAAAGGCCGCTATAAGGTCTCCTTGGAGCCTTCTCTTCTCCAGGCTGAGCAACCCCAGCGCTCTCAGCCTGTCCTCATAGGAGAGGTGCTGCATCCCCAAGATCAGCTTCGTGGCCTTCCGCTGGACCCATTCCAGCAGATCCATGTCCTTCCTGTGTTGAGGGCTCCAAAGCTGGACACATAGATAAATGCCTAGAGATTTTCTTTGGAAGCTGTAAAATATGATCAATTATTCTGTTATTAAAGAACAAACAAATTGCTTGGGCTTGGGACTGCATTCTGGTAGCATCTAAAGTTACCCAAATTTTGCATCTGGTTAATTAAAGATTTTTGTCAAAATGAAGACTTATGAAACATTCACCAGTATTTTACGTAACCAAATATTGGTTCTGCCAGGGTATAAATTCTGCACAGGGCCATAACCAGGATGTGACAAACCTCCCCTTTAACATCCCATTAATTTCTAACACACCCACAGCCCTGCAGTAGTTCACAGCCACTACTAACTCCCACATAAGACCAAATGCCATTAGCTTCAGCAAGGTGGTCCCAGATAATTTGTCTGGTGGATCAGCATAACCATTGTTGCAGCCTGTCCCATCATTTTTGAGAGTCAAAGTCACCTTTTGTTAGGCTTCTGAAGCTAGATAAAAACCAGCCTGTAATGACTGACATGCATTTGAAAGTGCTGCAGTTGATGTTGTTGTTGCACTTGTGTAACCACTGAGTGACCCAACACAGAACGGACAGGACTGCACGTTACATCTCAAGTTCTCTAAAGTTAATTTCTAAACTAAAATTTAATAAACCATGGAGCTGTGTTTAATGTTTGAAAGGCTTGTCAAATTTTCAAGTTTGTGTGAAACAGAAGAAAGACAATCCATCAATTACTCAGTAGTTATGAACACATGTAAAATAAATACTTCTTTTTCGGAGGAGAAATAAAAATCCTTTATTTCCTGCTCTATATATGGCCTTTCAATTCAGTCTCAGTGCATACATTCATGAACTACGTAAGCCAACCTTTGATCTCTCAGTGTTAAAAAATGATTGTCTGCAGCCTGTGTTAGTAACCCTGGTTTCTCTGATCTGTGACTCGTTTGAAATAATATGCATCTCTTTTGGGCCTGAGACTAGTTAATCTTTAGAGCAGAAAGAATGTCATCGCATTTATTTTCACTCAAGTAACAGAATCTACTTTTGGTACATCTTCTCCCCATTTGTAAATAAAAAAAAGCTGCAGTTTTCCTCATGAAGTCACCAGAAATAATTCATCAACATTATCCATCTTTCTAATAGATGCTATTTTGATATTAAAAATATTATGACCACTTGGGACAACAAAATAAGCTTCTAGAGTTAAAGCTGTTACACCAAGGTGATCTCATGGCTGCTGCTCACAAAAAGGAAGAAAATGTCATTCCTTTTCTGGAGCAGCTGTGCAGCACTAGGTTGGAAGAGGCCTGATGCTTTCAGGAGAAATGGAGATAGATAGGTGCTTGGGACCTGGGGCCGTGGTTCTCCCATGTGCTAATGGCCACTGTAAGCACCCTGCTCCCTTTGAGTCTCTGGCAGCTCTTTCTTACCCCTAAATAATCCCTTAGAGGGACTGCCCATAAGGAACAATGATGGTGTTTCAGGCCAAGGAACCATCAGGGTTTCCTGCGCTTTGCTGACTGATCTTCACTTACAGTTTTGGACTTTTGCCATGGTGCCATAAGGTCAGGACCAGGACTTTGTCATTCTGACAGTAACAGCCTTCTTATCCCCATGACAAAAGTCCATCACTTTCTAAGGAAATAAAAAGATGTCCACGTATTTGTTTACAAATATGCTTAATTAGCACAGTGCATGAAGAAGTCAGGTTTCTGGAATCTAAAAAGTGTGAAGGTATAGTTTTTAAATGCTTCTGCATACTGTGAATCAAATCTATGTACAAATAGCACAGGAAAAAAAAAAGAGGCTTATCTGCTGCAAAGAAATTGTATTGGTGCTTGTTGAATCAGTTTGTTTTGGTGTTTATTCAATCCCCTTTGAACTTCTCATGAGCAGTATTATTCTCTTTGGAGCCTGGAAGGATTTACAGCATTCAGATTCCACTGATGAAAAAAAGTGGCAGTGAAGCCAGGTTTTGGGTGCTTATAATCGAGCAAGGATTTTAGACACAAGAGGGAACAGAAAGGAGGCAAAATTTGCAAATCCTAGTGCAACCCTTGCTGATCAATTCAATATTGTTTGTTCTAGAGAAAGAGAAATGCTGCCCAAAATGATGACTGGCTGCTGTATCTCAAGCTGAAAGCCCTTGACATTGTAAGGAAGATCCCGGTTTGAAGAGCCTCTCTGAGTCTCTGAATGAGAAAGAGAGGCTCTTTTGCCAGTCTTTGTCTACCAAATTTATCTTTCTCTTTGGGGATTGAACTTCCTGCACTCACTCCATTTTGAGAATATCTGTAGGGCAATACAAACTTACATTTCCTACCTGGACCAGTTTTTGATTGTGCCACAGAAGTTCCAATTTTAAGAACTGCAGTAGCATGAAGATTTAGGTCCTACTGTTCTAAGTTCTCCTGATGGAAAACTTTCACTGCAGATACAATTTTAGATATTCTGTGAAGTCAGCAAGAGTTTGTCAGCCGCCAGCCAAAAGTAGATTCTTCCTTCCTGCCTCCCTTTAAATTTTGTGCTTTGCTTTTGTTTTGGGAGGAATAAATCTGCTTTTATCTGTTGACTGTTGCCAGCAAACTCATGTGAACATCTTTTCAAATTCCAGGGGATGGCTTTCCTCGTTCATCCATAAAAAATCTCTGTATTTGCAAAACTGACATTGTTCCAGAGAGGTAAAAGGGCGTATTTCAGTGCTGCAAAATCATTGCTTTCCATTTTACTGCATAACTCTATGGAATATATACCTTCTCTGTAAAACAAAAGGTTGCACTACCTGAGGCACCCAAAACACCACCCAAAAAAAGCGTTAAGCTGTAAGTAAGGTTATTTCTGCAAAATATTCATAACGAACTGCTGTGATTAAGCCGATTCCTGTCCCACCTTAAACGTGGGATGGAGACGACACATCAGCAGCAGTTTTGGTTCCCTTACATTCCTTCCTACCTCATGCTTCCCGCTCCTCAGGCCACTGTAGAGGTTATTTAATTACGTTTATAATGAGCCAGCAGATGGCACTACAAAGCAGAGCTCTGTGGCAGGGGAGATGGCTTGCAGCCGGGGATCTGTCACCCTGGGAAAGGGGAGAAAGAGCAGAGGCTGGAAAACAAATGTTAAAACTTGCATTTTGATGACGGGAAGGCCAGCGTTTAAAACCAATTAGACTAGTTAGTAATGAGCACTTCAGACATCACTGTAGTTAATTAAAAGAGGAGCTGCATTCTTCTTTGCTGGCTCACAGCAGGATTTCCTTCTCCAGAACAGCAGGTAGTATCTGAAGACGGATCATCCCAAGTGGAGTCTGTCAAGACAGGGCAGCTGTGGTGGGCTTGTGGCCAGGTAGACGTCGTGCAAAGGTGAACCAAGTCCAGGCTGCTCTCTGGAAATAAAAATGATCCTAATTCTTGGGCCTGGACTATCAGAGTATCTGCTGGCTTCTTGGACACGGCCAATAAATCTGAAGCCTGAGCAAAATTATTTGGGTAATTTATTAATGATATACAACTAATATTTTTTTTCCCCATTTTTATCTCTCTAGCTATCTGTCATTGGTTTCATAAAGGTTTGGGCTGTCCTTTTATGGCACATACTATGTTTCTTGCCATGTGATAATAAATGCCACTTTATATAATTCCTGAGTATTACACAAGTTTGGCTGGTTTGTTTCTTAGTTGTGTTATTCAAACTAGGAACAGATAGAACACAGGGGCACCATCTACCCTCAGTCACTGTTGATACTAATGTATTAGCCTTCGCTTCTTTAGTTTAAGTACTCCTGATGATGTCTTTCTGTTTCTAATGATAATTGCACCATTTACTAGTATTAGTGGTAGAAAACAAATTTGTAAGAAACTGAAAAAAGGCATTTAAATAACATTTCATACACTTTTAACATAGTATGCCATCAGAAGCTGCGTACCTGTGCCCTTTCACTATTAACTTCATATAAAGCTGAGCAATCTTCTTCTAAAACAGATAAGGATTTGTCATAGCATAAGCTAAAGGGCATAGGCCAGTGCCAGTAAAAAGTCTAAATTTAGCCTGTTGACTCCACTCTATGCCTGACTCTGTGAACAAAGATGTCAAAAAGAATAACATCAATTTCATTGCTCTTCCCTCCAGCAAATGTGTCCTGCAGAAGGGCTGCACTCCACTTTAAAATCATGTGGGGAATCTCCCATGACTGGTTCCTGTGGTATTAGCTGTCAAAAAATTCTTAGTTCACCAGTGTGTTTGCCCTATTATATGGCCTGCTTCACAGCCCTGATGATTTAGGTACAAATATGTATTTGTCCATTTGATTACACTAAATGTATGTCCAAGACCATGCAAGTTTTGTCTCAATAAGCTTAATTTTTTTTTAATCATACTGGGAAATGGGAAATGCTGTGAGTGATATTCCTTCTTTGAGCATTAACTGTCAACTTTTTTAAAAGTAAGAATTTTTCCTTCTTTAGCTGAAAGTAATACTTTAAGAAAATCTGAAATATGTCAATAATCCCTTCCATGCCTCTTTGACGATGATTTTTGTTTTAACCATCTGCAGAATTTCCAATGTGCTGCTCTGCAATGTGACGGATCGGGTGTCATTTTGGTTTGTGGTCACAGATTCTTCCAAAAATGTGTCAACTGTTCCTGGAAGTGAGGTAGAGGCAGCGATCAGGTACAGTCATGGCTTCTGCAACCTTTTCTCCCATGCTGACTGAGGATAGTTCTCTCTCTGGGCCTTGTATAAATGAGCACTCTGCCTCTTTAAGGATAAACTAATCCGAGTAGTTAAAACACCAAGGGGTCAGTACTCTTTCACGCATGTGAGGTTAGAAGGATTTTTAACAGGCCCACAGAATGCAAAGCATGTGAGCCTTGGGATTATAACTTTGGAAGGAGTCTCTCTTAACACTGGAGGCTCAGAAGAAATCGAGTCCTACTTTCAGAGTCCTACTTGTAATTTGTTGTCCAATGCGTGGCATATACAATGCTCTCATCCAGGTGCTACATTTCCCAGCGAGAGAGCCCTCTTTCTCAGATGACAGAATTGCACACTTTCTGGGTGGGATTTATATCATTTAACTTTGATTGCATGCCACGTGCACATCTACACCTGGACTAACGACCATAGGCTCCCTTTCCAGCTTCTCAAGTATGGTTCATCTGACTTAATTTAAAAGTCAGCCTTCACATGAGAAGAGCTGATGTGAAATCTTCATGAGAAGAGCTGGCCATGTCCCAGCTTGGCTTAAACAATCTTACACTCACATTCTTTTCATACCAGCTCTGTCTAGAATGCCAGTCAATGTCGTAGCTGAGCATTGCTTGTACAAAGTACCAAGTGGTACTTTGTTTGCTTTCTACTAGCATTGCTTGTACAAAGTACCAAGTGGTACAAATCAGTTTGCTTTCTACCAAATATTGCATTCTGTAGCTAATAAAAGCAAGAGTGTGGAGCTGAAGAGGGGAAAAAGAAAAAATGTGTAATCTGACTTCAGTGGTTCATGAAACCTACATAAAGGGTTTATAGGGACGACTCCCACAAGCAGCATAACTCATGTACATTTCTCAAATTCAGAGTGGAAAACAGACCTCTTTGTTTTCAGGCATTCTGTACTTTGTCTTGAAAATTCATGTTATCTGTATGGAGGTGTAATACCTAATTCCTGATGAATGAGTATGCGTTCTTTTGGAAAGATTAACTTTTAAGCTTATGAGCAGATTAAACTATTTCCTACAGAGACACCTAACAATAGCTTCATAGCATTAGTGAAGGAAGCAGATTATTTATTCACTGCAGCTCTCTGTAAGAGTGCTGGAATGCAGGGTTTTTGCATTTCTGTTATTCTTTGATACATTCAGCAGCATAAGCTGATTTATTTAAGTCTTTTATGTGCCCTGTTTGCCACAGAAATTGGATGCTATTATAGTGTGTTTGTTTTTTAACCATTGTCTGTCAGCTGATGAAGAATATGCTATTTATGAAAAGTTTTAATTCCTGCCTGATTTAGGAAATAAAATGGTCTATAAAACTACAATACTTTTTATTCAACCATTTCTGATTGCAGGCTAAACCATTATTCTAATTCTTCATACTACAGTAGCACATAAGAACGGTACCCATGGACCAGGATTTTATTGTATGAGATTCTCTACAAAGTAGGAATAAAGAGGAAGGTAAAACTTCTCAGAGCTCTGTATGAGACCCAAGATCTTGCATAAATATAAACAAGATATATTTATGCATATACAAACATGAAATGCACCTGTAGTTGCCTGCATGGGGTTCAGCACATAATTCTGTAACTCTAGCCTTTAGATGAGGGTGAACAATGCTTATTTCAGCTGTTCACAATGATCCTTTCATCATCATAAGGGTGAAAATCTTTCCTAAATCAAAGACGGCTTACTGTATTATGAGTCTTATAATATGCAATGGCTTTCAGTCCTCTCCAGGAATGCTAGATTTCCATTAAGGCTAAGAACTTCCTGTTTAAGGGACAGTCAAACATGACTTCCAAGAAAAGAAATTTGCAAAATCTCACTTGTTTTTCCCATGTATCTGTTCTTAGGAAATACTTGCCCTATGGTAAATAAATTGAATTGTATACAAAAAAGAGCTGGTGTAAATCATACAACTGTAATCAAAAAGAATGTCTCAAGACCAATATATGTAATACAATTTCTCATAAAATTTTAACATTCTGGAAAAGCTCATGAAAGCTACTGTTAAAACCTCTTAAGGCTGCATAGATTTAGATCCAGAAATACCTGCAAATGCTTAGAAGTAGTGAATATAAGTGAAGATGTCTATTAAAGGATAGGATATTTGTCAGACTTGCAGTTTCTCATAATGGAAAAAAATGTGCAAAGTACAAATCCCTTTAGCTGCATCCTGCAGGGAAGAAAGGCATGGTGGCAATAGGGGTGGATTCTTCTGGACCAACTATTATCCTGTGTCCATGGACCTAAGAAAATTGGTAACAGCAAGAGCAGATGTACCATGCAGATGTACCTGCATAACATGCAGGATGGTTCAGTTTGAGGAGCCAAGGGGCTCTGATAAGTAAGTCCTCTGAGCATTGCAGGGTAGGTCTGCCACTCCCATGCTAACCTTGAATGCTGCATGAGCAAGACAACAGAGCCACCCTTACAGATGACAACCTGCTATGTCTTCAGCACATGGTCCAAAACAGAAATAAACAATAATACTGTACTTCAGGTCTCATCTGTATTTCCAGTTTTTCAGATAAACGCATACAAAAGTCTAGTGTTCAAGACTCTGTAAGTGCGTGGGTGTCTATGGATTACTGGAAAGGTCTATGTTAAAAGTGAAGGTCTCTGTAATCATACCAACATCATGCTGGATCAAATTCAGCCCTTTCAGACTTGCGGAACATACATGGAAATTCTTTTTTTTTTTTAATCTTTTTAACTTACAAAATACCTTTATAAAGAGTTTTGATATTCTTTATGTTTTTATGAAGGATGAACCGGCACAGAATCAACAACGCCTTTCTACTGAGTGACAAAACACTCCAGTTCCTGAAGATAACCTCAACCTTATCACCGCCTGTTGAACCCTCCACGCCTGTCTGGCTTATTGTATTTGGTGTTGTTCTTTGTCTCATTGTGGCTGGAATTGTTTTACTCGTTGTTACAGGGATTCGGAAACACAAGAAGTAAGCAGCTTAGCTTTATTTTTGTTTTAACTGACTGGCGAGTTAAGTCACCTGGGCTGGTTTTGCTTTTCAGATCAGCCTCAGAGAAATGATGGCTGTGCCCCACCCCTCCTCCATAGGTAAAGATAACCCATGTGTCCTTTTCTGAGGAAAGGGGTTAAAATTTTCAGCTATGAAGTATAGAAGCCTTAGTAATTCTGGGGTGTAATGAGGAAATAGGAATTACAAGACTACGATCCTGGAGGCCACCTGACTAGAGATGATAGCTTTACAAAGACATTTGCTGTCATTCTTCTGAAGGTGTAGTGTGTCACAGGTGAGCCTCCTCTCACAGATTACTCAAATAGCTACCAAGGGGATAAGGCTGGGAGTGACTGTGCCCCTTCCAGGGAAATAGTCTCAAAAGCTGACAGGGCTGAAAAAAAATTTGCTGCTGCAGCTTGGGAAACCTCAGTAGAGGACACAATAATGATTAATGTATGGCTGAAGAGGGCCTGCTCAATGGAACTGCTGGGCCTGGTCTCACCTACCATTGACCTGATGAGGCCAAAGTACCCAGCCCTTCACAGGTTCATGACCATTTCTCCCCATGTTCATGACCAGTTCTCCCACAGGTTCACGACCAGTTCTCTCTCTCTGTCTCATGATTTATTGTCCTCTTAGTTGTTATGCTCCTTTTCACTTCTCCCTCTGTCTACTCTGCCCTTACATGTAACCTTTCCTCAGAGCGGATTCATCTCTGACTGAAGTCTAACCCTCCTTTTGCATCAATGGCATCTGCAGGCAGGGGCAGGGGAGTGAGGGAGAGGATAAACCAAGCGTATACATCTTCTATTTACTGTTGCAAAGGCTGGAGAGGTAAAAGGGATGGCCTGGGCTATTTGGCTTCTGGAAAGAAGAGCCAGACATCAGAGAAGAGAATTTTGAATATGCTCATCTCTATTTTTAGGCAACAAAGTATGTGACCAGGTTGTCAAAGACTTCAGCATGTCCAGTAATGAGTTTTCTTGGAAACTTGTAGAGCTGACATAATGGTAGCTCTGTTGCCTAGTAAGCTGTATTGGAAATCTGGCCCCAAGGGAAGGTGTTGACTTCTCATAAATCTGGCATTTTGTCTTTATAGGCCTTTAAAGTACCAGTTAAATACTTTGGTTCAGATAAGCCCAGAAGCACATGCTCGAGGCCATTCGTACTCAGGGTGGCAGGGAAGCACATGATTGGCCTATAATGGAGTTCCAGTAATGAGTTAGACTCATGCGTCATTTCTTGAAATGAAAGATTTTCTTAATGAGGTCTTCAGTATGCATCACTGCCAGCATATAAAATTCCAAGCCAGAGCTGCCTGCAGCATGAAGAGCTCCGTGTGATTGTCACCCTTGACTCTACAGCGAGCTGTATCAGACACACTGTCTCCCAGCCTTATGTTTGTTCTGCTGTCATTGCAGCAATAGGACACCTCCCTCTCCAGTAATAGATCTGACACATTCCCATGGCAGGACCATCCTCCTCTGGCGGTCCTGAACGAGACTGAAGTCTACCCCTCCCCTTCAGAATCCCATCTACAGCAGAGGCCATAAACACTTGCCTTGGGAAGACTGAAAACATGGTAAACACACAGAGTGTTTCCTTCTGTTACTCTCCCAGCACCTAATTTGCAGCTGGGAGCTGTCCTACTGGGTTTGGTCCTCATGTATTGGGTAACCCACAGTGTTTTCTCTTCCCTTAAATTGCTGGCTCTCCCCTTGGACTCATAGAGATTTTTAGCTCCTCTGAATTCCCGTGGCAACGAATTCCACACGTCTCCTACTCTTCTTATTTCTTTTGAACCTGCTTCTTAGTATCTTCTCTGCTCCCACGGTTTTTGTATTAAAGAACACTTTGTTTATCACTGTAAGAGCAGATACAGGAGACAGAGGTCAGAGGTTTCCCCTACTGTCCTCCCCCTTCCACCCCTGTTTACTTATAGCAAGTGCAAGGATCTCCCAAAGGCCCATAAAATTTTATTATTGTTAATATCGCAGTTATTAGCAGTTACACTGAGTCAGGTTGTTACAATTGTCCTGAGTCAGATTGTTACAGTACACGCTGTGGGATAGGAAGAAGCAATGGAGCTGACCTTTGAGTTTCTTATCCTCTGAAACCGCTGATGCTGCAGGCTATAAAGCACAGCAGGTTTTTCAACTATGAACTAGTAGATCTTAAGGTCAGAATAAATCTGGAGTTAAAGGAACATCATGCCATGTTGACTGATAATTCCTTATTACATTTTCTCATGGTTGTATTTTTTGAGAATTTTATTCAGCAATTATTTTAATATTTTTCTGGTGAGAACTGGAGCCTGGAATAGTGAAAGTCATGCAATTGTTTGATCTAGAAAACGGAAGTATAAAATACTGGATAGGAAGGTGGCTGTTAATGAAGTTTGAGATAAAAATGCAGATTTGCAGCATCAGGAGTACCTAACTTCTGGAGAAGATCATCAAGGAGTGTGAGGGCACTCAAGTGTCCACATTTGGAGTGTATGGTCTAAAGATGATCTGTTTCTAAAAAGTATGTTTCACTTTGTCCATGTCAGGGGGTGAAATCCATGACATGCATAACAGGGTCACACTAGATCTTCAGTGCTGTCATTCCTGATGTAAAGCAAAAGCAAATTTAGAGATTTTTTCCATTTTTGTTTTACACCAGCTTTTCCTTCTGCGCCCACCAGTCATTTTACAGAATAAGGAGTTTAAGTATTATTTATAACATAGTTACAACATGATTACTTTAGGTTTTCTGATTTGCAATGCTGATCTCAGACCACTAATCCAGGGCTTCCAATTTGTGGGCCTCCCACATTCCATGGTATGTTTACAACAGCAAAGAGGTAGTCTGGGTTATGCCTTTCAGAACATAACCTGTGATAAACTGATGAATCAATGTGCAGTTTTCTGTCTGTGGAACCGTGGTGGAGTGCTGCAGGTCAACAGAATAAGATGATTTTCTCTTTCTTCTTTTTAGAAAGAACAAAGAGTCGACAGAGAGAGAAAATTTAGAAGAGAAGGGCGAAGTGACAGTAACAGTAGAAAATGGCATTCCTTGCGAAGCACTGGATTTCAAAGCAGGCCACGTTAATGGAGTCTTTGCAGCAGATGATGAACGGTTCACGTCCTTATGAAGTGCTGCCATTGCTATCTGGCAGTTCTTTGAAAGACTCCTGTGCCTACCTTATCTCGTCACTACTCCTGAATGTCAAACATGAAGACAAGAAAAATGGCCTTTCACTTAATTTCCCTCGAGAGAACCTTTTGCTGATAACACATACACTCGAACCTCCATTACAAAGCTTTTGTTCATGAGCAAAGCAAATGAGAAGACCTCAAATTATATCCATTAAAGATTTCCAGAAGATGTACAGCAGAACAGGGTCAAAACCTGCCTTGTGTCAGGCATTTGATTTTAATTATTATTTAAATATGTCCATTGCTTGTTTTTCCCTGATGTAAATGTGAAAATGCATTATTCCTACATGTCACTGGGGAGATCATCTATCATTGTCAATTCTAGCTGGGCTTTATTTCAAGCCATACACAAAAGTTTCTCTGTAAAATGACTTCTGTTTCCTGATAAGTAGTATACCTTTGGATGGAATAGTGATCAGTGCATGAAAGTTTTCATTTATTGAGGAAAAAAACCCGAGCTTTCACATCCTCCGTAAGAGCAGGTTAAAAAGCATCTGGGTCATCTATAGCTTTAGGGCTAGTAAAAGTCTGGTACTAAAAGTGTTTTTCACTCAGCAGTCGAAGTCACAGATTACATGACCTGGAAATTAAAAGTTGCAAAAGTTTGAAATTTGTTGAAAATACAAGTTGCAGCAAAGGGCAGAATTTCCAAAGGTGCAGTCCGTGGTTAGTGGCCCAGCTCTCATTAAGTCTATGAGGGCATTTCACAGCTCTTTGAAAAAATCTTCCTTACATTTTTTAATAATAAAACTCAAGTAGATTTCCAGCATATAGCTAACCCTGGGTCAAGTGAACCTTCATGTGACAGCAGGGTAGCTTCTGAAAGATTCAGTGCTTGAAACACCAGCTGCTGGGCTTGGTGTGCCTGACTGGGAAGAGAACATGTAGGTGGTGGTAAGTCAGCAGAGACCATTCACTCCTGTGTTTCCAATTTGTGTGGCCGGGAGTTGAGGACATCAAATGGTGCCAGACCCTGAGCTGTTGGATTACTTTCAAGTCTGTCATATATACAGACTGTGCTCTCTGTACCCTAATCCCATTGCCATTTTAATCAGTGATAAAATTCTGACTGATTTCAGAACTGGGCCCCGGTGAAGGGCAGTTGTACGTGTGGGTAACTGCAGAGAGAGAATGGAAGTGTGCTGTAGCAAACTGCAGTATCTTCAGTCACCAAATAGCTGCCCACGTTACTGTGACCATTAGCCTTCCTGTTTCCAGTGTCATGTTTGGAGGCAATATTAGAAAAGCAACCCCCATTTACTTATTAGGATTATTCCATCAGACTCCTCACCAACAGGAATGGGATAAAACAGGGTAAATTAAACATGTTCAAGAGCTTCAGTGTTCTGAAGGCTCTAAAGATTTCTTGTCTCCCAGGATACAAATCCTTCAGCATTTTGGCTATATTGAGCACCTTTGGCTTTCCATTTGACTCAGCGCTGGCTCTTGGGAACAGGGTGAGCAGAAGGGGAGGAATGGGGAGAAGGAGAAGCAGCGGGACAAAGGGAGGATGCTGAGCAGGGGAAGCCCAAGGCTAGGGGAGGTGGGGAGAGAAGGGCCAAATGCAAAATAAAACTATGGAACCCACTGATCATTTGCTTCACGTGGTCTCATCTGTCAATGGTTGTCTTTGACGTCCTGCTGGTGGGTCCCTCTGGACAAGGAGTACATCTTCGCTGCATCCCCGAGGGTGTGCTGCTCCATTCTGGAAAAGGATTAATAAAGTCAGTTATTAGTGATAATTTCTCAGTGCTTCAGAATTACCATCCACAACATGGAGACGTATTTCTGACAGGAATGTCAAAGATTAAGCTTACCAGTGTTTAAGATCATTTATAGAGTACAGTGTTATTATTGCCTCCCGCAGTCATTGCTCCAAGGTCTTTCACTCAGGCAGAGTTTTATTGAGGTAATGCAGATCCCATCATTTCTAAACCTTCACACTTTTTGCACTTTGTATGACAGATGGCTACACTGCAGTGTGACCACATCGGGTTGCTGTAACTGCAGCACCTCTGCAAGAACCCATGAAAGATTTTGGTGAAGATATCTTGGCGGTGCAAGAGCAACCTCGAGCTATCAATTAAGATTTACTGTTATCCTGTATTGTACTATGTGATGCTAAAATAAAATTCACTTGATATGAAAAAGGGCCAAGCATATCTGAGCATACTTCTCAGGGCCTAAGCAAAGGTTCAATTCAGCCCACGGCACTGGCCAGTGATTTGAAAAGAGATTGAAAGCCTCTGAACAAAGCATTATGTGATGTGGGCTGACTCTGGTGGTAAGTATTTAATCACTGACTTCCTCCCAGCTCACCTTTTAGCTGCATAATTACTTTACAGCAGTTTGGCTTAATTTTCTGCTAATGATGATATGGGATTCACCCAGAGCATACATCCTCTCTGCTGACAGAAAATGGCTTGAGAGGAGCAAATGATAGATGAACAGGCAGGTATCACGCTTAGCAACGCTTTCAGGTCTGTGTCGGCGCCGGCTCTTTCGCTGAAATAGGTGCCACAAACTAGGTTAATCAAGGGCACAGAGCTACAGAAGAAACAGATCTCTCTTCCACTCTCTTTGTGCAGCAGAATTGTATTAGAAAACAAAGAGCACTTTGATTTGGTAAAGCCTGTCCTCCAGAGCCTGCAAATGTTACAATGACAGTTCATATCCCTCGAGGATCTGGCCCAGATGCTTTATGTAACTTTAACCATTTATTTTCCCTAAATCATCTGCCATCCAACGACCTGGTAATAAACAAGAAAGGGAGTAACAAGCAACATAGACTATACCGTAAACTATTTCCTAAAACAATGAGTCGATTCTGCTTTCGGTTACATCTGTGCCATGCTAATGAATTTCGACAAAGGAACACGGTGTGCCCGAGACTGAACTGTTTCATTTTCAAGAACTGCATTTGAGAAAAGCGAGGAGAAAAGAAAATTCAATTAAATGAAGCTATAGAGCTGGAGAAGTTCTGTTTGTAGAAAATCTGCAACATTTATTGCTAGCTCCCCATCCCCAGCGAATTGACATTTCAGGGAGGATGTTATGGTTCTGTTGAGCTTACTTGAGAGAGGGTATTGATGCCTAGGCTAGAATGAGCACAAATCATGCGGGAGTAAGTTGTTTATGCTGTCTGTGATTAGCTATGCATTTGGAGTGCTGGAAAACGTCAGGAAGTCTGCAGTGCCCTCTTTAAATTAGGGACCGCATTGGTCGTGACACAACCACGTGCTGTACACAACCTTCAGCATTATATCAACCACAGACTGGTTTTGTAAATGACATTAGTAGTCTGTGTTTGTCAATATTAATTTAGGAAAGATTACAAACTGTGGACAGATGCTGAAGTCCTTACTTGAGCCATTCTGCCACTTGCTTTAAGGAAAGATGACCACTCTGTCCTGCGAGCCGGTGCTTACTCTGTGTTGGAGAAAACTAGACTGAAGCTTGTTCTGTCACATCAGCATTTGTCTCTTCTCTTCTAGGACAGTGTGCAAAGTCTCGAGAGAGTCTGTCTGTGGTACTCACCCCTAAACATCTCTCTATTACACCTCCTTCAAGTCCGGTACACACAACTGGACCCAGTATTACCCCAGGGGTAATACCCCAGGGGTAATACTCCAGGGGTAATACACAGGGGTAATACTCTGCCTGTGCTGAAGAGCCTGGAGGGCTGATCTCATGGGCTGCTTGTGGACTATATGCTCCTATTTGTCTGTCCAGGTATGACATTTGCTTCTGTTGTGTTGACCTTCATGGAGAACCCTTTCCTGGCTATGCCTTTGTACAGTGATACCTTTGTTCTGTGTTTTGAGGGAATACATAACTGAAGCCATTTCACTGTTTCTGCCGTTGTTCATAAAAGAGAAGGGTGAAGTGGGAGCATGGAGACTCAGGGCAAGATTGAAGTCCTGTTCTGTCATCACCATGAGAATGTAATAATTCCCAAATGAATACAAACCATGGCATTGGAGTTGGACCAGATGATCTCTAGAGGTCCCTTCCAACTCTGACAATTCCGTGATTCCATGATTCCGTGATTAGCACAAGAGCTTCTGGTTTGATAATTTGGTTCCAAGAACTGGGCGTCAGTTTTGACCAAGCAAGGAGCTTTATCATATCTTGACAGAAAGAGTTTTTCATATATGGGAAAAGGAAAGAAATTACTTTAAAATTTAGGGCAGAAGTGCAACAAAGACTTGAATAACTCCCAGTGAAAAGTGGGAATCTATGTTTCTAGATACTCTTAAAATCATGGCTCAGATGCCCTCAAAAATTTGGTTGGTTCATCAGTGCAGTAACCTGTGATTCCTGAAATGAGCTGTTATAAATGTGCCATTTTTTTATAGAAAATGCATTGACCAACTGTCCACAATCCATTAGCAATGAGCAATCTGTGCTTGGTTTTCTATCAGCAGTTCCTTTGGGCCTCTCATGGTTTTTGTTTCCTTTTAATGTGGCATGCAAGAAGGGATGTGTGCAATGGAGTGACACCGCAGCTTCCTACGCTACTGGTCAATTGCTAATGAAAAATTTTCACTGTTAGATAATTTGACAGACTTGCTATTTTTCAAATCACATAAAGCTGAAGTATGTTGACAGTGATGAGTGATAGCACACTTACCAGCACAAATGTGTCAGTATATTGGGTTTTTTGAACACATTAAGCACTGTGGATGCACTCAGCATAATGCATTTGTGTTTTAACTGCATATTCTGTGGCTGGGTTGATGTTTGCATCAATCCAGGGGAATTCCCCCTCTATAACGCAGATTCAACTTTGTTCTCAGTAAAGTCAGCAGGTTCGGTAGGAACTGAATTTGGCTTAAGATCAAAAAAAAGTTTGATATTGCTAGTCTGTGCTGTTCCTTCCTACTGGGTTTCCCTTTCCCTTAGAGGTGACATTTTGAAGCTTTCAAAGCACACTAGCTACAGCATTGGCTACATAGAAAGCATTGAATTTGGAGAAATGGCAAGTGTTATGGCATTCTCTCTCTATCGGCTTCTGCCTCACTCCTCTCGTTTAGATTCTAATTGCTGCAAGTTACAGTGTGTAGCTTTTATCAGTTGTGGACCGATAGGAATTTTAGACTTTGGACTAATGTTCTCTACGATATTGTATCTAAACAACATGGTAGATTCTGATGGTCATGGACACATGGTCACTTTAAAATGAACTGGGACCACTCACTCCCACCTTAGTAAAACTGAATTGAGAAACACAGGTTGCCTAGATGAAAAGCTGTGTTTCCCAGGATCAATACCTTTCCCTTCATTGATGGGGTAAGGTGTTTTTTTGTACTGGACAAGGTGTAAGGAATACACATTATTGTGCCTCTGAGTGGTTCCCTCTCCTCTGCCTTTTTAACATATGGTCTTGACTTAACACATGTTTTTGACTGTGGCCTTCAGCAATGACACTTTATGATATGCTAATTTAACCTGCCAGCTTGTACACTCATCTGCCTTCCTGATAATCACTCAGCTTCAAAGCTTTCTCCTAAACCTTGAAAAACCACTTTTGTTTCTTGATGCTTTGGGCAACCGACAGCATCTCTACACAGCTCCTGATGTCTTCAGATCTGGGGCTTGCCCCTGCCCTCGCAGCACTTTCCCCCTTGGCGATGCTGAGCACGCTTTGACTTGGGGAACAGCCACCAGCCTGTGTCTCCCTTGGAGCCCAAAGGAGCGGCGCAGAGACACCTCCTCCTCTTTAGGTCTGGCATACAGGGAGTCAAACAGCCTGTCTTGGGACAGGAGATTATGGAAGGACATGGAAGGACACCTTGACCCCCGTTCCCACTGGGCAACGAGGAATTAATCCTACCAGCCGATGATCTGCCCTGTCTCTTTTCTGCAGAGGAAGAGCCAGCTAAGCCCAAACTGCTGATGCTTGAGCCAAGGTGGGCTGCTGGAATGTGCCTTTTGCATGGGAGCTGGTCTCAGCGGTCAAGCGGGACAGGCTGTACCTGCCTGCAGAGGAGCAAAGATGTCCATCCTTCTTGCCACCACACAGCTCGGCTCCCCAGCTAGAGAGTGGACACAAGCATCTCACGAAAGCCCCTTTTTTTAGGGGGGAAATCCCAGTGCCTGGGAAAGCCCCCGTCGCATGGGCTGAGGGCAGCTGGTGATCCAGCTCCTCAGACCCAGGGCTGGCAGGAGGGCTTTTGTCTGAGAAAAGGCAGATGTCATGCATGCAGAAGAGTTAGTCATGTGGGAAAGAGGCTGCTCGGGGGATTAAAAGGACTATTTGGCCAGCCCCCAGTTCGAAGCGCGAGGAAGAGGGAGAAGATCTGGGATTGCCCCCCAGGTGCAGCCGCGGCAGCGTGGTCCTTCTCCAAGCACTACTGCTGTGTCAGGGTGATGCCCGGAGGGGCTGAAGCCACCCCCAGGCCGTCCACTGCCTCCACAAAGCCACTTTGCGGGGAGCCCTCAGAGCAAGGATTTGCCAGGTATTTAACTGATGTGAGCTGCTCTTTGGCAAAGGGCAGAGGAGCTGCGGCTGCGGCCCTGCGCAGGTGGTGGGGTGGCTGTCCCTTGGCAGCTTGTCCTTCCTGGGGCTGCTCCAGGCCAGGCAGCCCC